TTGGCCACTGTGCCATTTCATTACATTTCATATTTTCAGTAACTACTTTGAAGCTTTGCTGCTTTTTGCCTTGCTTGTTTAACCCAAAAGCCTTCTATTTGTGATCCAAAGATACAAAAACCTTAAACCAGGTGTGTGTCAAGGGTTGCTAAAAGGAGCATTTACACACTATTTGCTTTAACAGCCAAGCTTCCTTTTGAAATGTAAATGGAATGTTAATGAGTAACACTTATAGTACTACAGTACTGCTTTACAACCGCAATTACATAGTTCTCTGACCAAACCAAGAATTTGGTGGTAATTCATACTGAAATTGGTTATTCTTTACCAAATAACTTTTTTTTAAAAAGCATTTGTCTTTTGCTGTATTATCAAAGACCCTGCCTGGTATGGATGGTTGCTTTATCAGTAACATTCCATTATGTTCGCTTGTCGCTTTTATAAGCAAAACATCAGAAAAGAGTCTAATCTTGAGAACTTAGAAAAGCAGTTGAGAAGTTTAAACACCCTCACCAAACTCTGCATATGGTTGAGTATGTGTGTGCATGAGTGTGTCTGTGAGAGAGAGCATGCATGCTGTTCTACAAACTCTTCCCCAATGTGCTCCCCCCTTTTCCCACAGACCACAGGCAGACCTTTACTACTTTGTTCCCATAACTTGGGGTACAGTACATTTTAGAGGCACTTACAGTGGTGCCTCGCAAGACGAAATTAATCCGTTCCGCGAGTCTCTTCGTCTAGCGGTTTTTTCGTCTTGCGAAGCAACCCTATTAGCGGATTAGCGGATTAGCGCTACTAGCGGTTTAGCGGCTATTAAAGGCTTAGCGGCTTAGCGGCTAAAAGGCTATTAGCGGCTTAGAAAAAGGGGGGGGAGCGAAAAAAATCGCAAGACATTTTCGTCTTGCGAAGCAAGCCCATAGAGAAAATTGTCTTGCGAAGCAACTCAAAAACGGAAAACCCTTTCGTCTAGCGGGTTTTTCGTCTTGCGAGGCATTCGTCTTGCGGGGCACCACTGTATTTTACATATCCAATGCCGATCTATGCACAATGCAAAACAAGCACACACAGAGAGAGATATATATAAGTATGCAGCCACCAATATCCCCTGAAGTCTTTTCAGAGCCCCATAAACTCTACATTCAGGGAAGGGTCAGAAATTGAGCAAACTCCAAAAAGTATTTTTTTTTCCTCAAGGGCTGGGAATAACTTCATCATGAGGCCACCTGGTGATGGTGGGTCCTTGAAGAAACCAGGTGTTATGTACTGGGTTGAATAGGATTCAGAATGCAGCAGTCTGATTGGTCCGCAGGAGCCACCCAATCCAACGCCAGGTGGAAGTGAATCCGCAACCTGATTGGCTTACAGGAGAATACCAGAATTAGCCAATCACGTGGGACCCATTGTGTAAATAATGTATATAAAGCTGACATTTTGGGGGAACTTCCATTCCTCACTACTATGAGCTGAATAAAGAGCATGAAATCCACTCTCGACTCCAAGTAAATTTCACCATGGTGCCCCATAGGCAGAAAGCACACAGGGAGAAGTTGCCATGGTAACAGGAGGCGTGATGTCCTCATGGGGGGAAAGTGGGTTTTTTGCAGTAGGCTTTTGAAACTGAGGGGGGATACTGGAAGGCACTGGCTGGAGGCTGCACTGAGCGGTGGGGGGTGGGTGGGGGGCTGGATGGCTGCTGCTTTGGATCCAAGCTTGCTGAAGCTACTAGGGGAGCAACAAGAGACACTCTTAGGCCATAATGTTCTGCATGCACATTCTCCACAGAAGGCTTTAGATGTAAATATGTGTAAAATAAACCATATTTCTGAAAGACGCTAGTCTCTGCTGTACCACTTTCCAAAGGAACACAAACCCTAGTTAAATGCCAAGACCCATGGAAACTTTTGCTCGGCAGAGATTGGGGTGGCCTGTAACATTGTGTTAATATCCAACATTATGCTAATATCTAAAAAAGTGTAATATAAACACCGACAACTGGGAAACACTGGCTAGCGAGTGCTCCAATTGGAGAACAGCCTTTACTGAAGGTGTTGTGGGCTTTGAAGACTCTCGAACTTAGGACGAAAGGGAGAAGCATGCTAAGAGGAACCCACACTTGGCAAACTATCACGGTGATCAACTCCCGCCCAGAAACCTATGTCCCCACTGTGGAAGGACGTGGGGAACCAGAATTGGCCTCCACGGTAACTTACGGACCCACTGTTATAACTGTGTTTATGGAAGACAATCTTGCTCCGTTAAGAGTGATCGCCAAAGAAGAAGTTAATATCCAAGCCTTCATATGTATTCCAACTGATTAAAAAATGCTCACCGCAATGAACTATATTTTCCCATCAAAGCATAATAAATTACACTACAATTGTTCTATTTTTTTCACAGTCAACATGTAAAGATCTGAAGTCGCAGTCTGCATGAAGTTTGATTCTAAGGGGACAATCCTATGCTCAGTATAAAGTCGGCTGAGTGATTTCAGGGCGCCACGTTAGTGCTTTTGCACTGTCAGAGAAAGAGCTACTATGGTTGGGCAATCTTATTCCCTTGCGTGCATCATCAACAGAAGGGAAGAAGTAAAAGCTTCTCACACACCCTTCCCATACTGCCTGCAGCAAAATGGCAGGGCAATAGAAGTGGTTATTGCCCTGCCTTGTAGGTTCCCCTTCCCTCCATAAATATGCAGTGAAATTACTCTTATAATTTAAACCTGATGCACAGTGACGTGATTTTTGGATTGTTGTGTCATAATTTGCACACCGTCTAACAGCAGAAATAAAATAAAGCATCACTCATTATCATAATAACGTGCAGTGTAATCCACCTACAGAATAATGCAACTCCCCAATAAATAACTCCCCCTCAGGTGTCACTTACTACTGATACTTCCTTAGAGAATGTATTTATTCGGCATTGTTTTTTGAATACACCTAGAGGGCCGTATAAAGTTGGTTGACTGCAGCCCACATGATGAGGGTAACTCGTCTTCATCATGAGAAATGTTTGTTTCTGAATTGTTAACTTTTCCATGTACAAAATAATGCTGAATTCTTAAGAAATTGCATGTCTTCTCAAGTGGTATGTTTTAAAGCTACCATTAGTGTCATCTTTAGTGTACTGCATTTCAATTCCTTAAAAGTACTGAGACTAATCTATGTATTATCGGGACAAAAAAGAGAGGGATTAAGCAATGCATACAAAATAACCACCAACACTTTCAGTGTTTGCAACACAAGCATTTTATACCCAAAAGAATAACTAACTTAGCAGCAAATCAAGTTAAAACTAGTCTACCTATATTGTCAAAGTGATGTTAAACTTTTAGAAGCTAAAAGGGGGGGGTAATTTTGAGTAAACTAATTAAATTTTTTTCTATCTGCATAACTGCGCCACGTATAGCCCAACTGAACAATCCAAAGTTTGTGTTTTTGTTACAAGATTTGGTAAAGGGACCCCTGAGCATTACCGGTAGGTCCAGTTGCGGACGACTCTGGCGTTGCGGCGCTCATCTCGCTTTACTGGCCGAGGGAGCCGGCGTACAGCTTCCAGGTCATGTGGCCAGCATGACTAAGCCGCTTCTGGCGAACCAGAGCAGCGCATGGAAACACCGTTTACCTTCCCGCCGGAGGGGTACCTATTTATCTACTTGCACTAGACGCGCTTTTGAATTGCTAGGTTGGCAGGAGCAGGGACCGAGCAATGGAAGCTCACCCCGTCAGGGGATTTGAACTGCTGACCTTCTGATCGGCAAGCCCAAGAGGCTCAGTGGTTTAACAGAAATTAGATACTACAGTAGATATGAGAATCTGAACATCAAAGAGGAAGTACTTCAAAGATACCATGCAGCAATTCAACAACATTTTCGACTCCCCCACAAAAGCACAAAGACATATTAATAAATGTCACAACCTGAAACACTCAGTATATACTATCTGAATCACAGAGTAGATTATTTAACCGTAGGGTCTTAATCTCAAGACATTCCGTAGGCCCTCTTAAAAATCAATTAATGACTTCAGCGTAACTGGATTCGTGGCAACTTGAAGTATCTCAAACATAAACCAGAACTGGGAATTAGTCTGCATTTATGAGATGACTTTTTCAACCAGTACAAGTAATGAGATCCCACAACCTACATCCTTCTTCTTTCCATGCCCCTTTCAGAGGTGCCAACGTCAACAGTGGTCTCTTCTTAAGAGCAACCATGACCGAGCAAATTTAATTTTCCAACCTCCATGAGCTACTTCACTCCCTAGAAACGTCAGATTGCAACCTTCTCAAGCCAAAAGCCTTTTTAAGGGGTGAGGAGCCATAATCCTGCTGGACTGCGCTTCTTCTCGACTTTTAGATGGGCAGGAAAACCTTCGGGAGACATTGCCAAAGCGCAGGTGAGGCTCCCCGAGGAAGGGAAGAGCGCGCATTCCGACTGCGCCCATCCCCACCGTTCTCTCGTCTGGGGGGAGAAAGGGGGGGTCTGCTGGGGACGCCTCGATTTGGGAGGCGGGGGTGGGGGCTGACCTCGTTTTAAAGCGCCATCGGAGCCCCCGATAAAGGCAGAGCCCCCTTCAGACCAGAAGAAGGCGGGGAGACTTCGGAGCGCCCCCACATCCCCTCTCTCCAAATGGAAAGGTCGAGGGGGGCGCAGGGAAAGGCGGCCCGTGCGCCCAGGGGGCTCCGCCGGCAGGGCAAGCAAGCGCGCCCTCCTCGCGCGGGGACCTCGGTGCGCCCCGAGGAAGATCCGCGGCGCTCCTCCGCGCCCCTTGGCTGGCGGAACCGCGCGCGCAAGAGAGAGGGAAAGAAAGAGCCGGCCGTGCGCGGTGCGCCCAGGAGCGCCGGCCTGCACGGAGACGCCTCCTGCGCCGCTTTCCTTCCTCGGGGGAAGAAGAGGGCCTTTTTCTCGGCGCTGCCCCTTCCTCGGCGTAGAAGAAGGCAGGGTCTGAGGAGAGGCAAGGCGGAGAGGGCCGCTGGAGGAGGCGCGTTTGGGGGCTCACCTTCCGCGCTCCGCGCCGCCTGTCCTCACCGGCGAGGCCCGCTCCTCCCGCCGGCTGCCCGAGGAGGAGCAGCAGGGCGAGCGCCGCTCCCTGCCCCCGGGGAGAAGGCGAGGAAGCTGCCCCGGGTGAGGGTTCTCCTTCCCGGCGCCTGGGCAAACCTCCCCGCCTTCCTTCAGTAGCAGCCGCCGCCGGCCGGAGCGTCTGGCTGAGGGAGAGGAGGAGGCGGCGGTGGGGAAGCCCAGAGGCGAGCCGGAGGAGCTGGCGCTGCTGCTGCCGCTGCAAGGAGGCACTGCGGGCAGAGCAGGAAGTGCAGCAGGCGGCGAGGAAGCGGCGGGAAGAGCTGGCGAGGATGGCCGGGCAGGTTGCGCGACGGGAGCTGCCCCCCGCGCCGCCCCCGGCAGCCGCTTGCGCGCGCGCGCGCTCCGAGGAGGAAGAAGAACCGGCTCCGTCCTGCAGCACCTGCTCCCTCTCGCCCGCCGCCCGCTTCCTGTCTGGGGAAGAGGGGCCCGCGAACAAAGGCTCCTCCGGAGAAGGGCGAGACGGCAGCCGGTGGAGCCAAACAACGCGAGCCTTTCTGGGGGGCCCTGCTGCGCTCAATAGCATGGGGGGGAATCAAGGTACACATTAGGGCGCACAGAGGGAGCGTTTTATTAAAGGAAATGGGAAATAAAGAGGAACGCTTCCTCGAGAAAATGCACAAATGCAATAGTAGTACGAAAGAAGGAAGTGCCGTTAGTGGTTTGCAAAAAACGAAATATGTAGGTTTAAAACGCAGTATAAGTGATCCCAAACGTTATGAACACACTGCTGCCGACTAAAAGTTGCATGATGCAGCAGAGAACATCAGCCCTCAGTGATGCACATATTCATAAAATAAACATGAAATGGGATGGCTGGCACAATTTCAAACTATGCCTTCCACGGGAAGCCTATTGTTCCAAAATGACACAAAGGCTCCTAATGGTCTCTTTTTGCAAGAACAAAGTCTGATCAAATCTAAGCTAGATGTTTAGGATTGCAGACCTGTTTAACATAACCTTAGCATACCAGATTTGTTCAGCCAGTGAAAGGAACTTTGTTTTCTCTTTCTGTTATTTGCCTATACAGTGGTACCTCGGGTTACAAACACCTTAGGTTACAGACTCCGCTAACCCAGAAATAGTACCTATGATTAAGAACTTTACCTCAGCCAATGCAATTCTGGGCTGCATCAATAGGAGTATAGCATCTAGATCAAGGGAAGTAATAGTGCCACTGTATTCTGCTCTGGTCAGACCTCACCTGGAGTACTGTGTCCAGTTCTGGGCACCACAGTTCAAGAAGGACACTGACAAACTGGAACGTGTCCAGAGGAGGGCAACCAAAATGGTCAAAGGCCTGGAAACGATGCCTTATGAGGAACGGCTAAGGGAGCTGGGCATGTTTAGCCTGGAGAAGAGGAGGTTAAGGGGTGATGTGATAGCCATGTTCAAATATATAAAAGGATGTCATATAGAGGAGGGAGAAAGGTTGTTTTCTGCTGCTCCAGAGAAGCGGACACGGAGCAATGGATCCAAACTACAAGAAAGAAGATTCCACCTAAACATTAGGAAGAACTTCCTGACAGTAAGAGCTGTTCGACAGTGGAATTTGCTGCCAAGGAGTGTGGTGGAGTCTCCTTCTTTGGAGGTCTTTAAGCAGAGGCTTGACAACCATATGTCAGGAGTGCTCTGATGGTGTTTCCTGCTTGGCAGGGGGTTGGACTCGATGGCCCTTGTGGTCTCTTCCAACTCTATGATTCTATGATTCTCAGGATGAGAACAGAAATCGCGAGGCAGTGGGAGACCCCATTAACTAAAGTGGTACCTCAGGTTAAGAACAGTTTCAGGTTAAGAACGGGCCTCCAGAACAAATTAAGTTTGTAACCAGAGGTATTAGATTAACAGGAAGAAATAAAGGAAAGCTTTGTTAGACATTTCAAAAGCCTCTATAAAGCTGGCAGTGAAACAGATGAAGAAATAACAAAATACCTGCAATGGAAAAACATACAGAAGATACGGTAATTAGGGATAAGACTGAATACATAAACTCCCCTGTATCTACAATGGAAGTACAGTGGTACCTCGGGTTAAGCACTTAATTCGTTCCGGAGGTCTGTACTTAACCTGAAACTGTTCTTAACCTGAAGCACCACTTTAGCTAATGGGGCCTCCTGCTGCTGCCGCACCGCCAGAACACGATTTCTGTTCTCATCCTGAAGCAAAGTTCTTAACCCGAGGTAATATTTCTAGGTTAGCCAGTCTATAACCTGAAGCATATGTAACCTGAAGCGTATGTAACCCGAGGTACCACTGTACATCAAGCGATAGTAAAACCTAAAACAGGAAATTCCCCAGGAAAGTCTTACCACAATGCATTACAAAAAAAATAGAGGATTCCCTAGTGTTACCTATGAAATTATTGATAAATAAAATTTTGGAAGAAGGGAAAATACCTAAAACATGGCAGTGAGCACACATAGTAATGATATTAAAACAGGGCAGAAATAAAGAACTTATAAACAACTATAGACCGATCTCCCTACTTAATAATGCTTATAAAATATATGTGGATATCTTAGCTACAAGATTTTAAAAAGTATTGAACAAATACATTAATCAAGATCAGGCTGGTTTCCTACCAGGCAAGAAAATGAGCAATAATAAAAGGGTAGTAATTAATTCAATAGAATACCTGGATATGAACCCAAACAAATAAGCAGCTTTTATATTTGTAGATGCAGAGAGAGCATTTGATAATGTATCTTGGAAATTCCTTGAGAAAACAATTGAACAAATGGATATGGGAAACAATTCACAAGGGGCTTAAAAGCAATATATGAAGGACAAAATGCAAACCTGATAATTAATAATGACATGACAGAATACTTTAAAATCGAAAAAGGGACCAGGCAGGGATGCCCACTTTCACCTTTATTCTTCACCCTTGTTTTAGAAATATTAAATGAAGAAATAAGACTAGACCAAGAGATGAAAGGGATAACCCTAGGTAACAAATTTTATAAGTTACGGGCATTTGCAGATGATTTAGTATTGATGGTAGAAAACCCAGAAGAAAGCACCCAAAAGGTATTAGAGAAAATGGGAGAATTTGTCAAAGTCTTGGGGTTTACATTAAACAAAGAAAAAATGAAAGTAATGGTTAAAAATATGGGATCTAAAGAAAAACGAGCTAGAAGAAAAAACAGGATTGAATATAGTAAAAAAAGTAATATATCTGGGTATACAATTACAGTGGTACCTTGGGTTACAGACACTTCAGGTTACAGACTCCGCTAACCCAGAAATAGTACCTCGGGTTAAGAATTTTGCTTCAGGATGAGAACAGAAATCGTACTCCAGCGGCATGGCAGCAGTGGGAGGCCCCATTAGCTAAAGTGGTACCTCAAGTTAAGAATAGTTTCAGGTTAAGAACGGACCTCCGGAACAAACTAAGTTATTAACCAGAGGTACCACTGTATTGGCTAGGAATACAGTACATTGATCTTATTTTATAAATTGATTTTATTTGATAGTTTTTATGCTGAAGGGAGAAGAAACATCTAATATTCCCTTCATCTTGTTAGATGCAGAGTAGAAGCCTTGACATCAACATCACTATGTCAGGGATTTGATGATCCCTGAGGTATTGTACTTTTCAATTTTGATTCTTATCTCTAGAGATACCTAGCCTGGATCTCTGTATCCCAAGTGAGTCTGAAATTATATTCTACAATTACTCAGATGATACTTGCTCCTTTGGTACGTTAGTACCAAAACAGGAATGACATCTCAAGGCTGACAGAAAAAGTATCTGGTTCTTGACATGGTCAGGTGCCTTTTAGCAAGATTGCATTAAACATTTTCACCTAAAAGCTTAGCTGAAAACTTTCCACAGAAGACAGATCTGGTAAAGGTGCAAAAAGCCTATGACAGAGGATCAGACCATGGGGTTAAAAATCTGCCAATGTGATAATACAAATGCCTTGTACATGGACACATGTTCCTTTCTGCAAGGAACCATTACAGGACTGGAACTTAAGTGCTTCCAGACGGCCTGCTTCAAGCACATCTGTGGACACCAAACAGATGTATAGCAGGCCTTGCACCTGAATTTTTAGGGCTCCTCCGCAGCCTGTTCATTCATCCTGGTTTGCAAAGCTTGTTGTTGTTGTTTAGTCATTTAGTCGTGTCCGACTCTTCGTGACCCCATGGACCAGAGCATGCCAGGCACTCCTGTCTTCCACTGCCTCCCACAGTTTGGTCAGACTCATGTTTGTAGCTTCAAGAACACTATTCAACCATTTCGTCCTCTGTTGTCCCCTTCTCCTTGTGCTCTCCATCTTTCCCAACATCAGGGTCTTTTCCAGGGAGTCTTCTCTTCTCATGAGGTGGCCAAAGTATTGAAGCCTCAGCTTCAGGATCTGTCCTTCCAGTGAGCACTCGGCTGATTTCCTTAAGAATGGATGCGTTTGATCTTCTTGCAGTCCATGGGACTCTCAAGAGTCTCCTCCAGCACCATAATTCAAAAGCATCAATTCTTTGGCGATCAGCCTTCTTTATGGTCCAGCTCTCACTTCCATACATCACTACTGGGAAAACCATGGCTTTAACTATACGGACCTTGCAAAGTGTTTATTCTTATTTGTCTAGAGAGGAATTATAGGACAATGAGCATTCATCCTGATTTGCTTGCAGGCTGTTTGCATATCTTCCCATCAATGTTTTGTTCATCCCATCCCTTTCCTAACCACAAAAGTCAATGCTGTTGTTTTTTTAATAGATTTGGTGTGCTAGGGTGACAGAGCACTTCAATCCATTTAAACTGCGCAAACGTAAATATCTGGTATTAACTTGAATCCTTCCCACAATATTGTGACAACCTGGAAGCACCCTCAGAAATAATAATAAAAAACACACATTTTCATTCCATGAGCTGCAGAGGGCGAAGGAACAGTAGGCAGCCAGAACAAACAGAAGGTTGGGAGGTGAACTTTAATTATCCACATCCGCACCCAGCAAACATGCACATACAAACCTTCGCTGGTTGCCTTTGTCCCAGAGGCACTGCAGTTACTTAACCAACTTG